ACACACACATACATATACATATATACACACACACATACATTCTTGACACAAGTCCTTTATCAGATAAATGATTTAACATAGTTTCCCCAGACTGTGCCTTGTTTTTTATTCTCTTACCATATTTTTAAAACAGAAGTTCTTAATTTTGATAAAGTCTAATTAATTATTTTCTTTTGTGGATGTTGCTTGTTGTGTTACATCTAAGAAATCTTTGCCTAATTCTAGGACACAAAGATTTTCTCCTATAAAAGTTAATTTTTTGTACAGTCATAATTTGGAAATATTGAGTTCAGTTCCAGATCACTACAATCAACTTCCAAATCACTACAATTTTTTGGTTTCCCAGTGCATATAAAGTTATGTTTACATTATACTTTATTATGTGTGCAATAGCATGATGACTTTAAAATGGGACCTTAAAAAAGTAATTTAAAAATAATTTATTACTATGAAATGCTAACAATCATCTGAGCCTTCAATGGGTCATAATCTATTTGCTGGTGGAGGAGCTTTCCTCGATGTTGACAGCTGCTGACTGTATATGGCAGTGGTTGCTGACAGCTGGGCTGGCTCCAGCAACTTCTCAAAATAAGACAATGACAAAGTGTGCCACATCAACTCACTTTTCCTTGCACAAGAAAATTCTCTGGGGTGTGTAATGCTGTTTGATAACATTTTGCCCACAATATAACTTTCAAAATTAAAGACAATCCTCTCAAACCCTGAAGCTGCTTTACCCAACTAAGTTGATGTAATATTTAAAATCTACTTTTGTCATCTCAACAATGTTGACAGCATCTTCACGAGAGTTACTTAAGAAACCGCTTTCTCTCTCATCCATAAGAAATAACTCTTTATATGTTCACATTTTATCATGAAATTCCAACAATTCTGTCGCATCTCCAGACTCTACTTCAAATTCTAGCTCTCCTGTTGTTTCCACCACATCTGCAGTGACCTCCTCCCTGATGTCTTGAACCCCTCAAAGTCATCCCTGAGGGTTGAAGTCAACTCCCAAACTTCTGTTAATGTTGTTATTTTGACCTCTTCTCATGAATCAGAAATGTTCTTAATGGCACCTAGAATAGTGAATCAAAAAAGAAAGAAAAAAATACAATAGTGAATCCTTTCCAGAAGGTTTTCAATTTACTTTGTTCAGACCCTTCAGAGGAATCACTACCTATGGCATTCACAGACTTAAAAAATATGTTTCTTAAATAAGACTTGAAATTTGAAATTTCTCCATTATTTGTGGCCCACAAAATGGTTGTGTCAGCAGGCATGCAGACAATATTAATCTCACACATACATCTCCATGAGAGCTCTAGGGTGACTAGGTATGTTGTCAGCAGTAATATTTTGAAAGTAATCTTTTTTTCTGAGCAGTAGGTCTGAACAGTGGGCTTCATGTATTCAGCAAATCATGCTGTAAACAGGTGTGTTATCATCCAGGCTCTGGTATTCCACTTTAATGAGCATGGGCAGAGTAGATTTAGCATCATTCCAAAGGGCCATTGGATTTTCAGAGTGGTAGATGAGCATTGGCTTCTGCCAAATTCTTTAGCTGCATTAGCCCCAAGAGGGTCAGAATATCCTTTGAAGGTTTGACGGAAGGCGTTGACTTCTCCTCTCTAACTATAAAAGTACGTGATGGCATCTTCTAACAGAAGGCTGTTCCACAGTTGAAAATCTGCAGATTAGTGCCACCTTCATCAATGATCTTACCTTTACCTTTTGGAAAACATGCTGTAGCTTCTACATCAGCACTTTCTTTTTCACCTCACACTTTTATAAAAATGGTTTCTTTCCTTAAAACTTCATGAACCAACCTCTGCTAGCTTCCAAATTTTCTTCTACAGCTTTCTTACTTCTTTTAGCCTTCGTAGACTTAAAGAGAGTTACAGCCTTGTTCTGGATAAGGCTTTGCTTAAGAAAATATATTGGTGGTTTTCTCTTCTATCCAGACAAAACTCTCTCTGAATCAGCAGTGAGGCTGCTTTTGCTGCCTCATCTGTCACGACTGCATAAATGATCACGCGAGACACAGAATGACAGAAAAAGCTGCAAGAGGTGAGGCTACCCATAGGTGCAGGATAACACTGAGCACTTCTTGTAGAGTCCATTTATTGAGAAGATACATAATGGATGGAAAGATTACTAAGCAAAGACATGCAGGGACTGTGTGCTCGGAGAAATGGTCTCATAGGTGCCAAGAAAGTATGTACTCAAGGAAATGATCTTCAAGGGTGGTAAGAAAATGATCTCTAAAATACTAAATGCACTTTTTCTCCACTAATCCTTTAAGGAACTGTCATAAAATGCCTAATATTTAACATTAGCCTTAGTATTACAGCACTGAACTTTGCTCCTCCAGCA